ACCCACCCACCCACCCACCCACCCACCACAAAAGGGGAGCAGCAGGGAGCAGCAGGGAGCAGCAGGGATTGTTTGCAGACATACCAGTGGCCAATGAGCTGGACATAGCCAGACATATTTGGCGATGAGTTGCGATTAAATGTTGGGATCCCTCCATTCAGCGGCGTGACGTAAATCCGACCATCAGTACCGCCAGCATACAGGCAGTATTCGGCAGCGTCCATCACAGCAACATTGATTCCAGTTGGGAAAACAATTGTGCGTAGAGTTGTACCTAGGCAAAGACTCCATATCTGCAACACAGCATAGTGCATGCACATATATAAATTATTAATTTCTTATAAATATTTTATTTTTATTTTATTTTTATTTTTTTTGTAAAATTGTAAACAAAATTTAACAAATCCTCCATTGGTTTTGACAAGTGAGCTATATCAATGGATTAGTTATCACAACTTATCAGTTCACTGCTCAAGGGACGGGAGGAAAAAAAAAAAAAAAAGATTTATTGTAGTGCAATGTGCAGACAAGGTTGATTATTTCACTTATGCGGAAATTAATAATTATGCCAAAAAAATAAAAATAAAAAAATAGTAAGCTACCGGATGTCCCACCAACTGGCGTAGCTCAGTTGGTACACCCTTGAACTGTTGAAATACAGACCAGGTCCTGAGTTCGAACTCCATCGGAAGCAGATGAGTAAATGCAAGGAACATGAGCAAGAGCGATAGTAAGAAAACCAAATTGCACTATCACACTGAAGACCAGATAGTCGTGTCCCAAGCAGTAAGCAGTACTATGCACTGAGAGAAGCCAAAGAAGAGCAATGCAATGAGCTCAAATGTTCAATGTCAGGCTCTTCTCGCCACCATCAACAATGTATCCAATGCCGCCCTTCTTGATTGGCGCTCAGCGCCCAGCCTACCTGTACTCGGAGCCTATGCTAGCAGAGCAATGCAATGAGCTCAAATGCTCAATGCCAGGCTCTTCTCGCCATGATCAACAATGTATCCAATGCCGCCCTTCTTGATTGGCGCTCAGCGCCCAGACTACCTGTACTCGGAGCCTATGCTAGCCTACACTTCGACATGCAACCAGGAAGCACTTCCAGTCCTGGTCGAAGACCAATGTACATGGAAGAAGTTGCCCATGCCGACTGCCGCATACACATCTGGTACGCGTATCTACTCCCTCTCGCTCTCTTCATCTTCTACTCCCCCCACAGCGTGTCTTTCGCTTACCCGACGACCGCCATCGCCAATACCAGCAACACTTAGGCAAGCCCGGCTATGGCTGCCTTGCACCCTCTGCCCCTGGCAGCGCCCTCGCCTCAACACTAGGGCTCGTGTGCACCCGCAAAGCAGCCAGCGCCCTGGTCACGACTTCCAGCGCTCAAAATGGCAGCGCTGTCGCCCAGCCGCCTGGCTCCCCAATGCCTGCCCGGGCAGCTTGCACTTTCCTGTACGGAAAGTGCGACTGCGTGAGCAGTGCCTTGCAGGCCGGTGTCGGGGCCCGGTAGCTTTGCCGTTCCAGACCGGTATCTGAACTCCGGGACTGGACCCAGAGGTTAGCATCGCAGCGGTGCGACGTCACTTCTGCTGCAGCGAGCCTCCTGATTGGCCGAGAGGCTGCTCACGAATTGTCACACAGCCAGGCCCCCTTCCACAAAACATCAGGGCCCGGTCACATAGCAGGACCTGACCGCAGATCCTGCAATTGTCGACCAGGCTCGATGCAACCTACCCCCGACAGCCAGTAGCCCACTTAAGAAAAAGCTGGGCGCAGACGTTGAGGAGCCAGGGCCTGAAAAAGGGGCCTCGCGAGGGGTGCATATTCCTTGCGTAAAATACGATCGCTAGTGAATTACCTAGGGCCGGTCAGTTCAATGACCATATCTCAAGGCCAGAAAAAGCTACCCGATGTCCCGACCCTGGATGTCCGGCCTCCTTTTTGGGGTCTGGATCCCGGATAACCTTGTCTAAAAAAAAACTTTTTTTTTTTTTTTTTAATCTGGCCTTTCTTCCATGTGCCTGGGCACGAATTTGTGACCAAAAACAACAAAAAAAATTGCTTTTTATCTGCCCTTTCTTCCATGTGCCTGGGCACGAATTTGTGACCAGACACACACCCGGCCTCCTGGCTGGGCAGGACCTCTGCGTGGGTTGCCTGGCAACCCCACCGCCAAAAAAAAAAAAAAAAAGAAAGAAATTAAAAATCTGGAAAAGAATAACGTCGTGTAGAATACTAGAATTGCAATACAAACAACTTTTTCGCTAAGGGTCGTCTCAGAATTCCTTACTGAATCGAAGATAGAAAAAGAACAAAAAACAAACTACGGCATCCCCCTTTGAACCCCTTTGAGCCCATATAAGCCCCCATTTATACCCCCCTTCTCCCCCCCCCAACGGACGAACAGAAAAGAGCCCAAATTTGTGCTGCTATCGGTAGGTGCAGAAAAGCCCCACCCACGGAAAAGGGGGAGAGGGGGGGGGGGGGAAGGAACAAAAACCAGAGTTTTTACTATTTAGCAACCTTTTACGTGTCAAATTTGAAATATCCCCTGGGTGGGCAGGCGGACACTCAGGCAACTTGTTTAAACGGTTGCCCTGCCCGGCGCCCCTGGTAAGCCTATGCTAGGATTTGATTTTTTAATATTTTATCCTCTGATTTCATCACAAATTTGGAGATTACCCTCAGACCCCCAACAGTTTTGTTTGAATTGGAGTCCTCTACGACATATTTCTTTTTTCGTTTTTTTTTTTTGTTTTGTTTTCAGGGTTAGCCCCCGTCAACCCCTCCCCCCTCCCCCCTCCCCCCTGCGCCCCCCATCTATTTTGCACTGGGGGGAACAGATGTCCAGACCCGGATGTTCGGCCGGACATCTAGGTTTGTAGCATTGATTAGAAATTTCTTTTTTTTTAAATAGTTAAAAATTTTACTTTAAAGTTTAAAGGGAAAAAAAAGCAGGTCATCAATTGACCTTATATGCTCACTGAGACAAGATCAAGCTACCAGATTCATTATACATACTACATACCTTGCACGTGTGATCCAGTGAGGAAGACACGATAACAGCACTTGAGCCTCCGCTCCCAGCGACTACTGCGGTAATTGAAAGAGTGTGCTCAGACCAGGCATACAATGGCTGCATGGCATCACCTG